CTTTATGCAACAGATTAACCTACCCTTGACAGCTTTGATTTTTCCTGGTTTTGGTCAATGAAGAACTGCAGATTGTGATACATAGTCATCTGGGGAGATAGCCTACCCTATTTATAAACTCCTAGCTTCTCCTGTCCTAAAGGTTCTTCCTACCTTTAGCCTTGCTAGTCTTCAGTCCATCTTCTACATTACAGAAAGAAATATATGTAAGATAAAAATAAGTCTCTGTGACTGCTGCTAAATGGCCTTTAGTAACTGCTTTTTTGTCTACTCAAATATATCCAAATATAAGGTCTTTCATCATTTCGATTAAAGAGCCACCAGTTCCTTTGCCATGGTGATGACCAAATTACCCATTTATTTCCTTATTCCTATTGAATCCAGCTGCAGCTTTAGATTTTCTTATAGCAACTACTAATTTGAATTGGCTTATAAAGTGGAACCTGTCTTTATTTGTGTTTTTGAGGGGGAAAAACACATTTAAATGTGGATTTCAGACCTTCCTACCCTTTGTACTCCCTGATCACTGACTGTTTCCCGTCTGGCTAAGTGTCACAGTTGCTGGTGAGCTTGTTACAAAACACCCAGGCCTCTCCACAGACCCCAGTCTCTAAGGACTAGGCACAAGAATTCAGGAATGGCTTATTGAATGGGTCTTAGGGGAGACACTGATGTACAGCCTGGGAAACCTGGTCCCTGTTCTTGCTACTGGAAATGTGATCTGTAGACCAGCATCAGCACCACCTTGTGACAAATGCAGAATTTCCTGCCTGACTCCTTACTGTCTGAGTGTTACAGTGACGTCCAGGGGATCTCCGTGCATGGGGAGCCTGGGACTCCCTGATTTGCAAGTCATCTGGATTCATCCAGAACTCTGTGGGCTGTGGTCCTTGTTCCTTTGTCTTCGGTAGTTATCACCAGGTGCTGGAGACAACCCTGCAGCAGGGGTGACAAGAGTAGCAGGCCTCAACAGTGGCTTTAAAGTACTCAGTTAAAAAAAAAAAAAGTACTCAGTAAATCATATGTTCAGGTTTTGCTCTATATTTAAAGCACAGGAAAGTAGCTTTAGTGTAATTCTCAAGGGCTCTAGGACTTACAGAATGGTGAATGAGCACTGGGCTTCAGGTTACAGTCACCAGCTACATTAGCCCTAACAAGTTAGCCTGTCCCTTTTAAAGTTACATGGGATTGGACCCAGGGCTTTGCACATGCTAGGTAAACCCTGCACCACTGAGCTATGTCCATAGCTCCTGGCCTTTGAAACTTTGAAGACACTGACTTCTCAATTTTTGAAAACTCTGGGAGACATCTTCTTTCAGTGTAAGCAGTTTTGTCTGCATCATTTAGTGTGGCTACCTTCATCTCGTAATGGGCTGCAGCTTCTATATCAGCACTTTCCTGGCTCACCTTCCAATTTCATATTCTGGAGGCATCTTCTCTCCTAAAACCCCACAGACTAACCCCTGCTAGCTCCAACCTTCTGGTTTCTGACCTCTCACAGCCTTCAGAACTGAAGTTATTCTGCATTAGAGTTTAGCCTAAGGGAATGTGTGGCTGGTTTGTCCTATCCAGACCATAAAAAACTTACTCCATATCAACAGTGAGGCTGTTTCCTTTCTTACCACTTGTGTGTTCACTGGAGTAGCAGTTTAAATTTCCTCCAATAACTTTTCCTGTGAATTTACAATTTGGCTAATTGGTGAAAGAGTCCTAGCTTTTGGCATGTCTCAGCTTTTAAGATGTCTTCCTCACTAAACTTCATAATTTCTAGTTTTGGATGTAAAGTGAGAAGTGTGTGACTCTTCCTTTCACTTGAACGTTTAAAGGCCACCCCAGGGTTATTAACTGGCCTAATTTCAGGTTTTGTTGTTGTTGTTCATTGCAGTAGTAAGACCTGAGGACAGGGAGAGATGGGAAAAGGCTGGTTAGTGGAGCAGTCAGAATATACATACAAGTTTCATAATACGGATGCAGCCTATGACACCCCCCCCAATGATTACTATAGTAAGAGCAAGGATCACTGATCACAGGTCATAATAACATAAAATAATAATGAGAAAGTTGGAGTAGTACCAGAATTGCCACAGTGTGACAGACATGAGTGTGCACATGGTATTGGAAAAATGGCCCTGATAGACTTGTCTAATAGAAGACTGTCAAAAACTTTCAGTTTGAAAGAAGTGTAAAGTGAGTAAAGTGCAATAAAGCAAGATGCTTGTACTGTTGCAATGTGTGGTCAGTATATTGCACTGCTAGGTAAACACTGCACCACTGAGCTACATCCATAGCTCCTGGCCTGTTCTTTGAAACTTTGAAGACACTGACTTCTCAATTTTTGAAAGCTATCCTATTCTAGTGTCTTTGTGACTAGAGTCTTGGGCTAAGTGCAGCTCTATGGAAGCTGCAGCACAGTGTCCTCCCCCGCTGGGTTCAGGGCTGCCTGGGCTTTTCTCACGTGTTCCCTTCCTCCCACACCAACCCTTCTGAACTCCACAACATTCGAGTACATTTCTGTCAAAAAGTTATCTTGGATGTTGTGGCTTGTGTCTAACTGTCCCCTCAAAGCCTCATGGGGTCATAGGTGGGGCTTTTCAGAAGTGGCTGGGATTGATTCACTAGGATTCAGGATGTGAGTGCTGCCTGGCCTAAGGGTGGGTAGCCTGGATAAGATATGAGGGACACAAAGAGGCTGTGGCGGTCCCCTTGTTGCTTTGCTACCTTCTGCCACCATGAACTGTTTCTCTTCTGTGATGCCTGCCACCCTGCACTGGAGCCAGCTGTTTATGGACTGAAACCTTTACAAACGGTGAGCTAAATAAACCTTTCTTCCTTTAACTTGGGGTGTTGGGTGTTTTGTCTCAGCAATGAGAAAAGTAAGAAACAAGACTTAGCAGGTCCTATTTTCAAATCAAATAAAGATCTAAATTAGACTCTGCTTTATAAATCCATCAATCTGCATTTGAGCACTAAAGCTAAAGGCAGGGAGAGGGGTAGGTGAGCAGAGCAGAAGAATTACAACAGGAATTTATCGGAGGCAAGAAACTACCAGATCCTTCCTTGAAGCTAAATCCAGAATCTAGATCGTTTAAAAAAAAAAAGTTTGGGGGTGGGGTGGGGGAGACAGGAAAGCAGCTCTGGAAGGACGCAAGAGCTGGGCAGGTCTGAAGCTTTGCCTCTTGAGACTACAGAGTTGCCTCTGTGCAGGGGCCACCCGGGCCTTGTGGGTCAGAGACAGACCAGACACCTCTGCTGTCAGACTGGGACCCCAGGGGAGTAAGACCAGTGTTTGTAACCAGGGGTAAGAGGAGGGAAACTTTCTACACAAATTTCAGGTTCACACACACTAAAGGTGGGGGTGAGGCTGGCCTGGCCATACAGTGTCCTCACTGCCTGTCATCCTGGACATGGGACAGTGGCTGGACTGTGTGATCAGAGGTCCAGTGGGAAAAGGTTCTGCTCAAAGGACAGGACTAAGGAGCTGGGAAGATGACCCCACTGAGGAGTGACCTTACCAGGGCCACAGCTGAGCACCAACTGCCTCAGCCCTATCCACTCAGTTCCTCCCCCTGCAGTAGACTCAATACAGTAAATGCATGGATTCTGCAAGATTCTCAGGTTTTATTTTTTCTCTCAAGTTTTAAGAATCTTCCCATCCTTTAAACCACCAAATCCATCTTGTCAAAAAAATTTTCATGGTAATTTCATATCCAGATTCTTATTTCCAGTACGGAAGAAAGTTGCAGCTCTGTGCAACACAGAAGTAAGACAGGGATGGTGACATTGCAGTCCTGCCTCTGCTGGAATGAAAAGATTGTTTGGGAAAAAGAACACAGGCCAGTGTGGGGCTCCAGATCTGGTTTCGTTGACTTATGCTTACAGGAACGGACACACAGACATAGTTAGAAACCAGTTGCAGAAAGAAAAGCCAGGAGTTCCTGAAGTCACAGTAGGAAGGGAGATACCTGAACAAATCATGTATCCCACAGTCACGCACAACACAGCTGTCTCACACTGAAAAAGAGAAATAGATTTAGATAAGTTATTGTAAATGCTGACGCTCCAAAGGGCCAAATACACACTCAAAATACCAAATTCAGAGAATCCCAGTTTTGTCCTCTCTTCATCACCTCCAACTTCAGGCCCTCAGGGCTACCGTTTGGTGGCTTGGGAGATGCATCCCTGTCCCTGTCTGGGGTAGAACAAAGCAGGATCTGGTCAGAGCCTCCAAGAGACACGGCTAAAGGAGGAGCTACAGGCTGAGGGAGCATCTCCAGCGGCTATCTGTGCTGCTTCAAGGACCTCAGCAATTACCCTTCATACTTACAGCCAGCCTGAGTGTGGTGACTCTTTTCCACCCGTGAGAAGAAAACATCCTGTGAGGCCAGGGAGGATGTAGGACCACGAGGACTTAAAAGAACCAGCCAGTCCTAGGGCCCAGGGAAGTTTCCTGGACTAGGACCGCAGATCCAAGGCAGCATCAAGAAACATAAGGAAAGTACATGGTCAGGAAGAGGACCAACTGCCTTCCTGGAAGTCTGACCTGCAGCTGCTGGGGATAAGGTAGCGTGGCCACAGTCCCCACGATGATGCATTTGTCCTTGATTTTTACATATCCTTTGCAAAAGTGTAAGTGTCAGCAAACGGGGTTCCAGGCTGGATAAGCGTGTATGCGCGCGTGTGTGTGTGTTGCTGTTCATTAATAAGGAGCACATTTCTCCCTGGTGCATGAAATTCCAAGTTGGAAGAAAATTCAGTCTTGATGCCTCATCACTTCCCTACCTGAAAGCTTCTTCCTCCACATCACAACAGTGACCACAGCCCCAAGGAGAACCAGGCCAGCAACGATTCCTATGATGGATACATTGAAGAGACAGTTCTGGGACGGGAAGAGAAAGGAAGGTCAGGTGCTCTAACCCTCCTGGAGGTGGCCAGAATGGATCTTGCATTGTGTGAGAACAAGTTCTATGCACACTCCCCCTCACCTCATCTCAGGGTGCAGAGTGCAGGCCGCCCCTCATGCTCCACTCGGCACATGTAATTCTGCTGCCCACTTCCAGAACGTTCCATCTCTTCCAGGCCTGGTCTCCATAAGCTCCATGTCCTGGGTCGGGGAGATCTCTGCAGGGTAGAAGCCTAGGGCCCAGCACCTCAAGGTGACCTCACTGGCAGAAGTTGGATGGTGAGTCATGAAGGTTTTTGGTGGGTCTGAGAACTCAGAAATTGAGACATTTTACATCACCTCCCATGGGGCCACTAAAACAGGGCTCAAGTGGCCATCCTGAGAATGGACAGAACACTCTGAGGTGGGAAAGGGAGCACAAAACATAGATACCAGCCTAGACTCAGACTTCTGGGTTAATGTCCTCTTCCTTGAAAAGTTGTAGAATCAAGAAGCCCAGGGTAAGAGGCTCCAGGTCTTTGAGAAGGACTTTTGGTTCTGACCTGGTTGCAGCCTGAAAGACTCAGGGAGTCAGACCTCCAAAGTCACTTGGACTGGAGCAGAAAACAAAGCCTGAGAAAATTTCTCCATGATGTCAGAGTCAAACAACTGCTAGTCATTTATTTCAGGGACTATTGCCTCTTGCCCTAACTCTAACCCAAGGCCCAGGGACCCATGTAAGTGAATAGATTTGCATTTTATGCTTCCCTTTCCTTCTGGCTCCTTACTGTTCAGGCTGGTGAGCAATAGCAAGCCTAGAGCCTGGACAAAATGGGAAAAGGAAGAAGAGAAGCGCAAAAGTTGTCCAGACACTGAGTGATACACGGAGTAATAAGAACATAGGTGAAACTACAGCTCTTCACTCATTTTCTTAACCAGAAACTTAGAGCTCAGCAAAAGCAGCCAGAATGAGGTGACAGAACAGGTGACAGGTGTTACTGCTCCTTGTCAGCACTTCTTTTCCTCCTCTAGGCTCCCGGAAGATGCTTCTCCCTCTCCATCTATGGACATTAGAGTCAGCCGTATGATTTTCTTCCCATTTGGACTGGGAGCTCCTCAGGTGAAGACTTTCCTTGGTGTCTCTGAATTCTAAGGCCACAGCAAATGCTTGTCACTGAGTTTGTGGATTGCAAGCTATGAGGGAGCAATCATTTGACAGCCAGGAAGTCGCTGGTGGAGGCCAGGCCTGTAATGATTCTGCCTCATCAGCCTTTAGACTCGGGTCCCGGATTTATGAGTTCTTGTCTTCATCCACATTCACCCCTATAGGTCCTCTAGAAACTCCAAATGAATTTTTACCCAGCATTCCATGGAAACCTCAGCTTAGTCTGGGCTGCAAAGCAGAGTGGATGGGTGAGTCAGCCATTTATCCTTCCGGAGAGTAGGCCTGCCTTGTTGTACAGAAGAACCTGAAAGAGTTTCTTTCCTTTTTACTTTTAATCCTAAGAAAAAATGCAGTTGGGTGTGGTGGCATGCACCCCAATTCTCAGGTACTCAGGAGGTTGAGGCAGGAGAATGTCTTAAGTCTAAGAGGATCACTTGACTTAGTCACTTTTCTCACCTCTGAGACACAAATACCTGATACCTGCAACTTTAAGGAGGAGCAGTTTATTTTGGCTCACATTTCAGGCTTTGGTCGGTGGCACCAAAGAAGAAACAGCACAATTGTTAGGATAAATGAACCACTATGATACAGACTCTAGATTGACAAGTCAACCAGTGCTGACAACAGGCAGCAATGTCTGATTGTGTGTGATATATTTTTCAGGAGGATGTACATAGGCTGTGTTATGTATACCTTTGTTACCAACCAACAGATGGCCACAGAAATCTATTCAAGTCTTAGAATGATTACATATTAGGGAAACTGAAATGGTCATTTGTGTCAGTATATGCACAGATGGGTGGTTGCATTGACTGGATGGCTTTCTGGTTTCACCACTCAGGTCAAAGAGGTGACTTCTAAATGTGAGGCGCTGCACTGTATCATCCATATAGAAATGCTGGCTAGCTGCAAAATGTCACTTGACATGAACAGTGTTTGCAGGATCTGATTAAAATTAACAACCACAAAACACATGCCCTTAACTCACATGTTCACACATCTCTGAAAAGATGGCTGCAGAGTATAACAGTCTTTTCTTATACACAAAGGTGAGATGGCTCTGTAGGGGTAGATTATTGGTTGGAGTTTTTGAGTTATAAGAGCTGCTTCAGAAATTTCTTTTAGAAAAACAGTCACCCTTGGCAGCACATTACAGTGACACAGAATGAGTCATAAAACTTGTGAATTTCTGTGACATAATCAACCTGCTCAGTGAACTCGGGAGAATGACAACTGTGTTCAAGTTGGCAGATATAGTGGCTTCATTCAAAACCAGACTGGAATTATGGGGGCAATGAGTGAACACTGGAATTTTTTTTTTTTTTTTTTTTGGTACCAGGGATTGAACTCGGTACCTTGTGCTTTCGAGGTAGGCGCTGGAACCACCGAGCTAAATCCCCGGCCCCAACACTGGAATTTTTGACATGTCTTAAACATTAGCAGAGATCTTGAAAGAGACTGAGCGAGGGCCTTCTTTTCTCCAGTTTGTGCATGATTGCCTATCTCAGCTTTCAAAAGAGTTTGAGGATTACTTCCCAACCATAAAAGACCCCCAAACTCAGAAGGAAGGGATTCACCACCCATTTGTGAATAAGCCAGGTGAATTGACTTTGTCTGTGCTAGAAGAGGATTCACTGCTTGAGATCACAAATGATGATGGCCTTCAAAGTATGTTTGGAGACAACTCCGGATCACCATTTATTCTGGTTAAAAGTCAAGGGAGAATATCCTGAGATGGCCACAAAAACCCTAAATAGCCTGCTCCCATTTCCATCGTCCTGTCTTTGTTAGATAGAATTTTCTGCAGTGACAGCAAACAGAGTGAGATTATGGAGTAGACTGGACATAAGCAACACACTTTGGGTGTCACTGCCTCTCATCACTCCCAGATGGGACTATCTAACTGGAGGAAACCAAGCTCAGGGCTCTCACTGATTCTGCACTATGGTGAGTTATAGAATGATTTCATTATATATGACAATGCAATAATAGAAATAAAGTACACAATAAATGTAGTGCAATTGAATCATCTGGGAACCCCCCCCCAAATCCTTGGAAAAATTGCCTTTCATCAACCAGTCCCTGGCATCAAAAAGATTGGCAGCCACTGGAATATATAGTGTCATGAAACTACATGATGTTTCAGTCCATGATGGACCACATATTCAGTGATTATAATGTACCTGAAAAAAGCATAAAGCCTAAATGTGTTTAAGATGAGTGTCATTACAAAAGTCAAAATGTTTAAAAATTAAGAGTTTATGAATTTAAAAGTTACAGTAAGCTAAAGTTAATTGCAAACAGAAAATTGTTTTTATAAACTTAGTGTACTCTAAGTGAATAATGTTTATAAAGTCTATAGTAATGTACAGCAGTGCTGTAGACTTTCATGTTCACTTACCACTCATACACTGAATGACCGAGAGCAACTTCCACTCCTACAAGCTCCATTCATGGGAAGTGCCCTATGTAGGAGTGCCATTTTTAATCTTATAATACCATTTTACGGTACGTTTTCTATAATTATATGTTCACACAGAAATACCATGATGTTACATGCTGGGGATTTAGCTCAGTGGTTTCACCGCCTGCTGTGCAAGCGCAAAGACCCGAGTTCAATCCCCTGTACAAAAAAAGATAACACCATGATGTTACAAATGTCTATAGTATACAGTACAGACCTATTCTCAGCATATATAGAAATCCTGTACTTCAGGAAAAGCGCATAATGTGTCATTTTGAATGGGAGATTTAAACTAAGAACACTCCAGACATACATTGTGCGAAAGGGTAACTGGGTGCTACACATTGCATTATTATTTAAAATAACAATAAAATCTAAAATCCAACTGCTTATGTGCACTAGCCACATTCCGATTGCCCAGTACCCACATATAGTTGCTACCATATTGGATAGCACAGATACACAACGCAAAAGGTGAACCTGCGTTTTGTACCGTGGTGGCTCATTTATCCTGTCTAACAGTTGTTCCTCATTGTCCTCTGGCATTTCACCAGCTCTTCTAGTTATGGTGCTAGCCAAAACAGGAAGATATGCTACCTTTTGAACTGCAGCCTTTCCTGAAAGTTGGTGACAAATATCCTTAACAGCTACCAGGATCAACTCTTTCAATACTAAAGGGCTTCTATGCAGTTGATTATTAAGAATGATGTTCTCAAAAAAAAAAAAAAGAATGATGTTCTCACCATAGACACATTTGAGGAAGTCATGGCCTTCAATAATTGCTCTATATTACTATATCCTTTATAAACACTGTTCACTTAGAGTACACTTTATATTCTCATCCTTTTTTTTTTTTTAACTCCAAAGGCTTGTCTTTTTTATTTTATTTTATTTTATTTTTTTGAGACAGGGTCTTGCTATTAGTTCAGGCTGGCTTGGACTCGCTGTGTAGCCCATGCTGGCCTCAGACTTGCTGTGTTCCTCGTGCTTAGCCTCCCAAGTGCTGGGACTACAGGCATGCGCCATCTGGCCCAGTGAAGGCTTGTCTCAATGCAGAGTGCTTGTTCAGCGCAGGGACCTTGGTCTGTGCAGTGAGCAGTTCTGAAGGTTTCCTGGCTTTCTTGCATAGCTAGTCGCACCCATTACTATCAAATTGTTGCTCAGCCACACCCTTTGTGTTCTCTTCAGAATAGACTTTTGCATTGTTTTGCAGTATAGACTGGCTGAGAATTTTCCAAATCTTGAAGTTCTTGTTCCTTTTGGCTTAAAAATTCTATTTCTTTCTCTTCCCTCACATTTGCTATAAGCAATAGGGAGGACATGTTTGCTAAAGTTCACTAGTGAAGCCATCTGGGCCTGGTCTTAATATTTTAGAAGATTCTTCAGTTTTTAAAAGTAGAGTACTATTAAGATTGTCTGCTTTTTCTTGGAAGTTTGGCAGATTGGAGCTTTCAAGGAAGTGCTCCATTTTGTCTAGGTCAGTGATGGTGAACCTTTTAGAGCTTTCAATGATAAACAGCCTGCTGCTGCATGCATACCATAGGTTCACCACTACCAGTAACTGCAAAATCAAATTTGTGGTACAGAACTATTCCTAAAATTCCTTTATCTTTTTTTTTAAATCCATGCATTCTATAGCGATGATTCTTTTTGCGTTTTTCACATTATTGATAAATGTCTCCTCTTTTTTTTGTAATTTGCCTTCTAAAGGCTTATCAATTTTATCAGTCTTCTTACAGAGCTAGTTTTTGGTCATGCTGATGTTTTCTGTTGATTTTCTGTTCTTTCATTGACTTCTGCTATTTTTAATTCTTTTCTTTCATTGACATTGGGTTTAACTTACTCTTTTTGTAGTTTCCTAAAGTCAAATTTAAAAGATAGATTTTAGGGTTTGGGCTGGGGATTTAGCTCAGTGGTTTCGCCGCCTGCTTGGCAAGCACAAGGACCCGAGTTCGATCCCCAGTACCAAGAAAAAAAAGATAGATTTTAGGGCTGGGGATTTAGCTCAGTGGTTTTGGTGCCTGCTGCGCAAGTGCAGGGGCCCGACCCTGGTACCAAAAAAAAAAAGATAGATTTTAGACCTTTTTTCTGTTTAATATATACATTCACTATTACAAATTTTTTTCTAATCATGGTTTTTACTAGAATGCACAAATTGTGTTAAGTTGAATTTTGACTTTCATTTAGCTCAAGTATTTTTAAATATTCCTTGACATTTCTTCTTTGATCTATGTGTTATTTAGAGGTTTTTTAAAATCTCCAAATATTTTAAGATTTTATGGTTATCTTTGCTGTCAATTTCTAGTTTAATTTCATTTTGCTCTGCAAACATTGTATGATTTATATTCTTTTAAGTTTGTTAAAGTCTGTTTTCTGACCTAGAGTATGGTCTATCTTGGTGAATGTTCCATGGGGATTTGAGGAGAATGTATATTTTACAGTTGCATAAAATAGTCTATTCATGTCAATTATATCAATTTGGTTAATTTCATTTCACCTACAATGTTAATAATTTTCTGCTTGCTTAATTTTTCTGCCTGAGTCTGCCTTAGTAATTTTCTGCAGAGGGACTTCACCTTCAGTCTCCAACTTTAGTAATAGAGTCATCTATTTTCTCTTGAAGTTTTATCATTTTTGGCCTCATGTACTTTGATGCTTTGCTCTCATATGAATATACATCAGGATTAATATATCTTCTTAGAGGGCCGGGGATTTAGCTCAGTGGTTTTGCCGCCTGCTGCGCAAGCGCAAGGACCCGGATTCAATCCCCGGTACCCCCCCCATATATATCTTCTTAGAGAGTTAATCCAATTATCGTCAAGTGCTCCTCTCCTCTTTATCTCTGCTCTTAAGTTTTTTCTGTCTGAAATTAACATAGTTATGTTAGCTTTCTTTTTTTTTTTTTTTTTT